GCAGGCCTCGAAATCGAACGGCCACGTCTTCCATGCCGAGTGCAGGCCAGTGAACGTGCGCGGCTTGTTCAGCGGCCTAGTGTCCACCAGTTGGCCTCCGCCGAGACCTGCTGCTGCGCCGCCCAGGCCGCGCTCTCCTACGCGCTGCTCATCCATGGCCAGCCGCTGCTCCGCCGCGCCCAGCCTGGGCCGCAGGTTCTCGTTCTCCGCGGGTACCTCACGGTGTCGCGTCACCTCGCCCCCCATGAGCCGCGCGCGTTCTGTGAGGGCCTCCATCGCCGCTGCGCCCGCCGCGGCAGCGTGACCGAGGATCACCAGACCAAGGAGGGTGATCCGTCCTCGGCCACGCTCCGCCACCATCCGCGGAATCGCGCTAGCGTTCCATGATCGAATTGGGCCCCGCAGGGCCTACATACATGATGATCTTTTCACTTCGGGGCGCTAGAGCCAGAACGGTTGTGGATGTGTCAAACGATCAAACATAAACCCGCGCGAAACCCGCTGAAAACTCCCGAGTCGCGTTCCTAGAAACGTACTCGTAACACATGCTGCATACGGATTAGGGGGTGTTTCTGCGTTTTCCCAAGGTTTTTGAAGTATATTGGCTTCTGTGCGGCCTCCTGGGGAGGCTCCGTGGCCGCTCGGAGCCGTCTTGAAGCGGTCTTGGAGTTTCTCGGAGCATCTTGGGAGCCATCTTGACGCATCTTGGGATATCTTGGGCATATTTGGAGGTCATCTTGGGCTCTCTGAGACCCTCTTGAACCCATAGTGTGCCATCTTGGACGCTCCAACTACCAGCGACCACCCCCCTCCAGGTCAAGGGGAGGGCGTATGGGGGGAGGGGTAAACCCCTCCCCGAAGGGGAAGAGGGAGGGGTGGAAGAGGAAACGCCCTAAACCACCTGCGCCCAGATGGCTCGTGGGATTAGACAGGGTCCCTGCAACAAGCTGTTGAGGGAACAACCTAACCGAGTGCGGGCGATAATAAATTACCCGCCCCCCCCCCTTCACCCCCTCTATTTGTTATCCCCGACCACGGATTTATCTGTGGGGAAGGCGCGGAGGCCGAACTTTATAATCCACGGAAAGGTTGCGGAAAAAGAGTGGTTCGAAGTCCAGCGCAAGAGGAGTTTCTTGGCCAGATCGGCCAAGGACCTCTCTTGCGCTGGCAAATCTAGGCGCTTGTTTAGCCACGAGCCTCGAGATCGCTCGAGTCAGCCTTGTGTCCTGCGCCTCTGCGGGCAAGTAGCCACGAGCCTCGAGATCGCTCGAGTCAGGCTTCTGTCGTGCGCCTGGTTTAACCTCCTCCTCCTCCTCCTCCTCCTCCTCCTCCTCTTCATCATCGTCATCTTCATCATCATCACCATCATAGTTTATCTTCCCCAGGAAAATCCTTCATTATCCCCGCGGGAACCGCGAACGTTATTATCCCAGGGGGGTTATTATCGCCCGCTCTGGGTTAATAAACGTAAGCTTTCGGAGGTCCGCGCTGATTTATTTCTCGGATCCGCGCCAGGTCTCCTGGCGGCGCCTCCAGCGCCGCCCCTGGCGCGCTCCGCGCGCCAGGAAGGGGGTCCAGCACCGATTCAAGAAATCCGCGCCAAACTCTGAACATTTATGCTGATGCTGCTTTTGTCTGCTTCTGGTCTTCCTCGCCCACGTCGCCACAGCTCCCCACCGGCTATCGTCGACCTCGCCATTGTCGGGGGAGGAAGGGAGGGAGGAAAGGGGGGGAGAGGACGAAGGGAAGCGAGCAGGAGAAGGAGGAGGATGAGGAGCAGGAGGAGGAGGAGGAGGAGGAGGAGGAGGAGGAGGAGGAGGAGGAGGAGGAGGAGCTCGAGCAGGAGGAATGGGGAGGGTGGCGGGATGGGGCGTCCCCTCCTGCGGTCTGTGAGCGAGAGTGGAGGGAGAAGGAGGAGCAGGACGAGGCGCGACGGCCCGACCCCGGCTCCTGGCCGCGGCGGCGCCCAGGTCCGGTACTTCGCCCTGGCGGCCCAGGTGCCCGCGACAGAAAGCCGGCACGCCCGCGCCCACGCCCTCGCCCTCGCCCACGGCCACGCCCACGCCCCGACCACTGCACGACGACGGCAAACAGCGCGAAGACCTGGCGCCTATCAACCACCTACTTGGACCAACCTCTAGAGACCAGGCCTGGCGAGACGACCAACGGGGAGGAGAACGCACCGCCAGATATCAGCTCTGGCGAGATGGCCAGCGGTCTGCGGAAGGACGCGAACATGGCTCTCCCCAGCAGCCACGCTGGTCTCCAATTGTTCGCAGAGGCCATCTCGATCACCACAAACGAAATCCAGGAGGGCTTCAGCAATTTCGCCTTCCAGAGTGACTGCTGCTGGCTACCGCCACAGTTACTGCCCTTCTTCGACGCCGCCAACTACGACCGCAGCTACACCTCAGCATGGTCAGCAACATAAGGGGGCCTTGGGCGCCGCCTGGGGCACTGGCCCAAAGAGGCAAGCAGACCTGCAGATTGGGGTGGACCAAGCGGATGTCAAAAGAAGCAACGAAGCAACCGCGACACTTCAGCAGTGGGGGACATTGAGCGCCCCTGGGGTTCTGGACCACCAGGCCAACTGACACATAGATAGGGGAGGATCCCGCGCTAGCAAACGGACACAACCACTAGCCCGCTGGCCCCGGCCACCCTCGACGTCCCGGTCAAGTCCCGTACCGCTGCGCCCACCGACCCCGCACGGGGCCGGCCCAGGTCCACCTCGGCACCGCTGCTCGACGTCGTAAAGGAGGCGGCGGCGCGACCAGTGCCCACTTCGTCGGTTCTGTCAACTTCCGGGCGCGGGGGGGGGCGGGTGGCGCACCCTCCTCCTCCTCCTCCTCCTCCTCCTCCTCCTCCTCCTCCTCCTCCTCCTCCTCCTCCTCCTCCTCCTCCTCTCCTCCTCCTCCTCCTCCTCCTCCTCCTCCTCCTCCTCCTCCTCCTCCTCCTCGTCCTCCTCCGGCCTTTCGCCCAGGCCCACTTTCGCACCGCTGACAAGCGTCGCAGCGTTGGACGCACCAGGTCCTCGGCCACCCCTGCAGGCCGCCAACCCGATGGATGAGTCCAGACGATGTACGTCAATTGTGACCGCGGATTGGGCCAGCGCTCGAGCGACATTTTCGCTGAGCGGGATCTCAAGCGGGTCGGTTGCGGTTTCATACGAAGCCGCCGAGTCCGTTAAGGAAGTAGCGAAGTACTTACACATATTGCAGCGACAGTTGGTATCTCAGCACTGCTGTCTTGACATCGTTCATGACGTTCCCGCGGACAACGTTGCGGGAGCTCTTCGGGCGCTGCCCTCTGCCAGTCCGCCCAGGGATCAGGGGACCCGCGACGCGGATGAGGACGCCGCTGGCGCAGCGGACGGCCCGCCTGTCGCCGCCGAGGTGATTGACGCCGAGGGCGAGAAGGGCGTCGACCCCGGCTCGCCGCGCCGCGAGCAACCCCAGGGTGTCAGCCGACGCGCCTGCAAGTACACGATTCGGAAGGCTGCGGCAACCGCGGCAGCCGCGGCCGCGCTGGCAGAGAGCCGGCAACATCGGCAGACCTTGAGCAGAAATTTGTTTGCCTGCTCTGAGCAGAGTCAGCTATTCTGGACATACCCTCCAAGCTGCCCCCCACGAAGCCGAGGCCGAAAACGGCTTGTGCCGACGAAGCCGACGCCCTCGACGCCAGGGTACGGCTAGGTCGGGGGGACACATGCGACCTCTGCAAGGGCCACACTGGGCCAGAGGGGGACATCTTGACTTGCACGGCGGGCGGGGGGCACGACTGCTGAAGCCGATACCTTTAGTAGCGTCGACACCACACACACATGCCCAGATTACCACGGCCGACCTGCACATGTGGTGAGCCTACACTTCGTTCAAGGAATGCCCAGGGGTTTGGGCTGAGCGACACCGCGGCCCCCACCTGCCAACCAGCCCTCATCGCGCCTTCCCGTCATTCTTTTCACCTTGGCCCGAGGCACGGGCCTTGGGGGGAAAAAGGGGCCGCGTGCGGATGGGGGGACAGGGAGTTTGGTGACGGGCAGGGGAGCCGCCACCAGGCGTCGCCGCTTGGCGGCCAGAGCCCCCCTCGGCCGTGACATTTCGCGCCCGGGCTCCTGGGGGGGGAGGGGGGGGGGCAGCAGGCTAGGCCCCCTTGCGGGGTCCGATGCGCCCCCCCCCCCCCCTCCCCCACACGGGATGCCCGGGCCTCGCCGCGGCCTGCAGCACGGGGCGCGCCTCGTTGGCACCGCCACGAGAATCGTCCTTTCTGCCCCATGCACCGCATGATGAAGAGGAGTGGGGCGTCGAGAGCCCCGGCTGCTGCAGCACAGCGATCCTCATCTTGAAGGCTTGAAGGAGGTGGAACGGAAGCAAGGATGGATGCAAAGGGATGGAGGATATTGGATGAGGAGGGTAGTGGAGGGAGATGGGGTAGAAGGGTGTTTTTTTTGTTGGGGGGGGGGGGGGGCGGCGGCGAAAAGGAGGGGGGCAGGAGGGGCTGGGATGGAGGCGAACGGAGGCGGAAATTCCCCAAGCCAACGATCTCCGAGCATACATGGCCAAAGCTGGGGCCGGAACGGTGAAAGAGGAGGCAGGGGATGAGGAGGGAGAGGAGGGAGAGGAGGAGGAGGAGGAGGAGGAGGAGGAGGAGGAGAAAGCGAAAGCGAAAGCGAAAGCGAAAGAGGAGGAGGAGGAGGAGGAGGAGGAGGAGGAGGAGGAGAAGGAGGAGGAGGAGGAGGAGGAGGAGGAGGAGGAGGATGAGGCAGAGGAGGAGGAGGGGGAGGAGCCCGGAGGGAGGGAGAGGAGCAGGAGGCAGAGGGGGAGAGAAAAGAGAGTCGAGGAAGCTGGAGGAGGAGGAAAAGGGTGAGGAGGAAGAGGAGGAGAAGGAGGAGGAGGAGGAGGTCTGAGGGAGAGGGAGGAGCAGGAGAGCAGGAGGGAGGAGGAAGGGCAGGAGGAGCAGGAGCAGGGGCACGGCGGCGGCGCCTGCAGCAGCGGCGGCAGGCCAACCGGCGCGCCCTCTTCGCGCGCTTGGGCGGCGAGGCCGCGGCGGTCTGCGCCGCGGCCATCGGCGCGCTCGCGCCTGCAGGCGCGCGGCGGGCGCCGCGGCCGGGAGCGCCCCGATTGTGGGCGGGCCGGCAGGCCGCGGAGAGCCGTTGGTCGCCGGTGGCCGTCGAGTCGTCGCCGCCGCCGAGTTGCCGTCCACGCCGTCGTCGCCATTCCAGTGACCGCCGCCGAATTGCCGCCGAGTTGCCGCCGCCGAGTTGCCGCCATTCCAGTTGCCGCCGCCCAGTTGCCTGCCGCCGACGAATTGTCGCCGAGGATAAGATGTGTTCCACCCCTGCGGTGTTCGTGCCCTCGATTTCGATCTCTGGGCTGTTGCTGAACCCCAGGGCCATGAAAGAGGGGTCCGTGACGAAAACCCCCCCCATCGGAAAGGGTCAGGACCTCTTGGCTCTCGGCCGCAGATTTGACAAATTCGGATCGGCGGATATCATGCTATGTCGCCGCCGTGGTCGCTACTGTCGTCGCTATCGCCACTGTCGCTGGTGCCGCCGTCGCCGCCATCATCGCCACCCTCATCACGTCGCCTTCTGGCCACCGTCGTGGGCGGTCGCCGTTGCCGTGGTCGTCTCAGGGCGGGGCCGTGGCGGCAGAGATGCCCCGCGGGGGTCCTTCGGGGAAGCCCGCGGGGGTCCTTCGCACTTGCTGGGTTTCTGTCTCTTCTTTTTCTTCTTCTCAACATTCTCTCCCTGGCCCTCTCCCGTCCCTCCCCTCCCCACCTCCTTCGGAGGAGGAAGAGGGGCTTCGGAAAAAGAGGAGGAGGAAGATTGAGATGACGAGGACGAGGAGTGGGAGGAACTGGAGGAGGGAGATGTATCAGGACAAACTAGTGCGCTCGCGCCACATCTGACATCATATCCCTTCCTCCCATTTATTCCCATTGCGCTGATTTGTTCCTTATCTGCAGACGCGTGTCATAGCCGACCTGGAATTCCAAACAATGCCCCATCGTATTTGGGGAACTGCGCACATAGGAGGAGGAACATGTTAGACATATAGTATCTCGGTCCCCGTGTGTTATGTGACCCCCCCCCTTCTTGAGGCTCCCAAATGTTCCCGCATCTTGGTCTGTAGCTGCTCTGGCTTGAATGCCTCCCTCACCATCAGCCCGCTCCACTTTGCTGGTGAGGGGAGGCTGAGGCTTTCGAGAGGGGCGGCCTGCGGGCCGCCCGCGAGCGGCGGTGCGGCGACATGCTGGGCGTGGGGGCGCCCGCCGCGAGAGCAGGCGCAGCAGCCGGTGGGCCTGGAGGTCTGCTGGGCGTGGGCGCTGGAGGCGTGGGCTTCGCGGCTGGCCCCCCGCCCGCCGTGCCGCCAGGGGCAGTGCCCGCTTCGCCGCCCGCGCTGGGAGCAGCGCCGCCTCCGGCCGCAGGCGCGGCGCCCAAGGCCGCCAAGAGAGGCAAGGCTGGCATGGGCGGCATGGGCGAGGCGGCCAAGGCGGGTCGCAGGGCGGCGGCAGCGGCGGCGCCTGTCCCGACAGCAGCGGCGGGGGCGGTGGCCGCCCCACCCCCGCTGCCTCCTCCACTTGCGAGGCCTCCTCTGCCGTGGGCCGCGGGGGGCGCGCCGTTGCCGCCACCCGCGAGGGCGATGCCCGTCCCTGGCGGGCCCCCACCACAGGCCGTGGGCCCCATTCGGGCGAAGAGAACTATGCACATGCACCGATCCTGGCAAGGCCCATTTTTGACCCAGGATCGGTGCATATGCCTTCCTGGCCAAGGTAGGAGGGCGTATGCACCGATCCTGGGCTCAGGATGGGCCTGGCCAGAATCGGTGCATGTGCATAGTTCTTTTTCCTCTACCCATGATGGGTGGCGCCTGCGGCGGGCTGCTGGGCTTCGGAGGCTTCGCAGGAGCAGGGGCGCCGCCACCGCCAGGAGGCCAAGGGCAGTGGATCCAGGGTCCTGCCGCGCCTCAGATGCTGGGAGGACTCGGGGTGTATCCAGGATGCGAGGTCGAGGGCGTGTTCCTCGACAGTGGTGGCGCGCCAGTCGGCACCGCGAAGTTCGCCGTGAGAGGGAGCTGGCCTCCCGACGCCGTCGGCATATTTGTGGAGTGCCAGTTCGTGTCGACGGGGGTGCTGCTCTACGAGCCCATGCTGCAGGGGCTGTTCGGCATGGGTCAGGCCGTTCTCCACTTGTGCGGAGGCCGCCCCGCGGTGATCTGCAGCCAGCAAGACATGTGGCCAGGGCGCCAGGTCGTGCACGTGGACACCTTTCGTGTGATCCCTCCGTCGCCCCTCGGCACTGGGCTGCCTGGAGGGGTGCCTGGGGCGGCCGCGCCGAAGGCAGCGGCTGACGTGGTGGCCTTGGCAGCCCTGCCTGGAGGGACGAGTCCCGCAGGAGGAGGCACCGCTGTCCCAGGATATGGTGACGGAGCAACGGGCTCGAGCGACTTCGACGCTAGGAAGCTCAGAGAGAAGCTCGAGAGGCTGCGGCATCGTCTAGCCCAGAACCGAGACATTGGATCAATCTTGGCGTCTCGGGCCGAGCAGCACCTGGATGGTCGCGGGAAACCCAAGAAGAAGAAGAAGAAGAAGCGGCGGAAGAACAATAAAGAGGACTCCAGTGACTCGTCTGAGAGTTTTCGTGACGCCCCACCCTCTGGCGCAGGTCGCCGTATACCGTCCGTGAGCAGATCGGCGCCAGGTGCACTCCTCGCATCAGGCCTCGAGCAGATCAAGCAGCTGTTGGCGCAGAGGGGCGCGGCGGACACGGAGGAGAACCTGAACAGCATGGCGGCGATGGTTATGCAGTACATCACCTCGGTGTGGCACGGTCGGCACCCGCCTCGTACGATGGGTGCGAGGAACACGGAGATGAGAATGATCGGAGAGTGCCTCGACGCGCCGCTGGCAGGTCGCCTCCCTGGGCTGGGCGACATGCTCATGCAGGGGCTCAAGGCCATCGAGCAGGCGCACAAGGACGGCCAGTGGGCCGCGGCGCAGCGTTAGAGGTCGGGGCCGACGTGGACGCCGGCCTTGCGCGGGCCAGCCAGGTGCGCGATGCGGTCAGTGCTTTCGAGGGCGAGGCGAGGCTGTCGCAGCACCTGGCGGCCGCGGGCAAGAAGACGGGCAGGCCCCCCTAGGGGTTTGGCCGAGGGGGGGGCTCAGGAGTGACGCCGCCCCCCCTCAGAGGCCAAGCGACGGGGCACCGTCGCCCAGGGCGTCACCGCCAGTCATGGCAAAGGGTTATCAGAGTTCACGGGCAGCCAAGAGGAGGCGCCGCCGCGCAGGCGCGGCGGCGAAGAAGCTGGTAGCCAGGAGGCAGGAGCACGATGCGGGCGCGTGGTCCACGGCGGCCCAGGTCGCGAGGCAGCTGGAGGGCCCGCCGCGCCGCGCCGGGGGGGGGGGGGGGGGCGGCTCCGAGTCCGGCCGCGGCCCCCCTCGGGCACCCGCGCCTCGGGGCGGCTCGTCGACGGGGGCGAGGGGCCCAGGCGCGCCTCAGCTGGTCTCGTCGCGGAGCCCGACTCCACCTCAGCAGCCCAGCCCTGCGCGCCGCGCGCAGTTCCTGCCCGACGAGAAAGGAGACGTGCCCTCGGTGCGCAGGCCCGCCTTGGCCAGCTCAGGTGCAGGAGCAGGTCGAGCGGCCACGGGCGCTCTGAGCTCCCTCGACAAGGCGAAGCAGGGCAAGGGCAAGAACAGGGGCGCGGCGAAGAGCAAGGGCAGGTCAGAGAGGGGGTCCAAGGGGCCCAAGGGCGGCAAGAAGGGCTCCAAGGGCAAGAGGGCGTGAGCGAGGAGCTCGACGCCACCGGCGAGAAGGAGGAAAACGGTTTCTCTAGAGAGGTGAGTTCAGACACGGACGATAGCTGGGAATCTGCCGTGACGGAGGCTTGCTGCAGCCTCGCGAGGGCCGAGCGCGTCAGTGTGCCTAGCGGCGGTGCTGACGCGCTTGCCCCCCCCCCCCCCCCCACCCCCCGCGACCGCGTGCTGGGCGACGGCGCTGGCGGGCGCGGCGAGGCGGCACCCCCTGCCTGGCCCCGCGGCGCCAGCGTGCCCGACGGCGCAGCCAGCGCGCGGCGGCCCGCCAGCGCCGACGCGCCTCGCGGCAGAGTTGGCAGGCATGGCGGCGGTGGTGGTGTGTGTGTGGGGGGGAGGCCCTGTGGGATGCAGCTTCAAGTAGATTTCGATATCCCAGGAGATCGCGAGGTGACAGTCAGCAGATTGAATGCCTTGGAAGGCGAGCTTCGTGATATCTTGCGCCAGCATCAGCCAGCTCGATGTTACGATGAGGATGTGCGCGTGGATGAGGTGGAGCTCGAGAGCGAGACGGACGAGCTCGAGACAGACGCTGTCCCCACGCCACCGTCCAGGCGGAGAAGGTGCAACCTTATTCCTCTTCCGCCTGGGGAAGTAGGCGAAGTGCTTGTGTTGCGCCGTGGAGGTGCTGGCGAGAAGGAGCTGGTGCAGGCTCGGCCGGAGCTGAACGACTGGCTCTCCCTGGTCATCGCGGGTCTCAACTTCCACTAAGCGTTGCGCGGGCGCGCCCCCCGTCTGGCGCCGAGCAGGGGGGGGCCCACAGCGGTGCAAGCATCAGCCGCGCGGCTTCTTGCTGAGGAGGCACAGGTGTTCCTGGATCAGCGCGGCGGCGACTTGCCGACGATCGATTGGGAGGCCGAGATGAAGGCCTCCGCCGTCGGCTACACAGGGGGGGAGATCTACCCGTCCGAGCCTTTGAACCTGGAGCGGCTTGTCGAGGCGTTCCCCCTTGTGTCAGTGGCTTCGTCGGTGGGCGTGCTCAGGGTCTGCGAGGGCCGGGTCCACCAGGCGCTGCTGAACCCGAGCCACGTCCTGCAGACGGAGGACGACGTGGAGGTGATGCCGAGGACTCCCTGAGTCTGGGCGCCCGCCTCGGAGCGGGACCGCATTGCCGCGGTGCTGGTCGAGAGGAAGATCCTCGAGCCCATCAGCTTTGAAGAGGTGGCTGTCTTCACAGGCAAGAAGATCTTGGGCGGCATGTTCGGCGTGCATAAGGGCGGCTACAAGCGCGGCGGGGGGCCCCAGAGGCTCGTCATGAACATGATCCCTTCGAACGCGATTCAGAAGGTGATTCAGGGGGGCACGCCGCTTCTTCCGTCGTCAGAGA